ATGTCATGACACTGGTGGGCAGCGCGCAATGCGACTTCATGTCAACACCATGGTTGAGGCGTAGGTAGAGGCCACTCAGTCCGTCGATCAGTGGTACACTGACCAGAGAAGAATATGCGATGGTTCTTCATGGCTCTAATCTCGCCACACTTAGTATCATGCAGCCTCGACTTGCAAGCCATATTGCCACGTAGTCACATTTCCGCCAGCGGCTTTGAGTAGCTCTGACATACCTGATTCACTTCCCATCACCTTGCCCCCCCAGTGTGTATGGTGCCGTCAACATCTCCAGACTTGGTGCAACTGACTGTCGGGCTCGCTGATAGCCTCGAGTAGCTCCGCTGCTGTGCGTGGGCCGTGCCGTGTTGCATATCGTGCCGTCTGCCAGAATTTCTTTGCATATGAACTCGCTCTCATGATGTACTTGCTTGCGCGTGCTCTTAATGGGCGTAGTTAGTATCTTAGCTCGTAGTTCATCACAGTCATCCTTTGTGAAATCCTCGCAGTCCTCACTCATGATGATCTTCGTGCTCCCTCCAATGTCCCACGTAGTCTCCCCCATCTCCAACTCTTTTAGTGCCTCCAAGCCATGCTGGAACTGGTCGGCCCGCGGATGTGCATGAGGCCGCACCATCCCCTCCTCCGAGATAAAACCTCCGTTGAGAGCAATCTTTCTAAAACACGTGGACACGAGCTGAATGTGTTGATCCCGATCCTGCACCATGGTTTGCCGCCACTCCAGTCTGCGAGCGCGAAGTTCACTGAACAGTGGAGCACGTCGGAGCTTTTTTACCTCAAGCCCGCTTATGGTACTGACGTGCTGCTTATCCTCATCCCGGGTCGCCGTGCCACCCAGTATTCCACGACATTTGCGTGCCAGATACCGTACTTCAAGTACTTTACAAGAAAAACATCTCCATAATCATTTAGTGCCATCTGCTGGGTGAGACTCCCTCCCCATGTCGAGTCCACTTCAACTGCGTGAAACATTTTCTTGTAACAAGGTCCGCCTCGGGTATCGCCCATGCTGGATACGCTCTCCAAAGTTTCATTTGCCATGTTGTCTTGTGCATACCAATCCAGTCATCAGTCGATAACTCCATAGCTTCTTCGTCAGCGAGAGCTGGTGGTCCTTCAGCGATGACCTCGTTCTTAACAAGCTCAGCGCCAGCCTCAACAGCATGATGCCTTGCCGGTTGGGTAGCTCCATCCTGGTACACCATCCTGTTGCACTTACCGTCGATGTCGGTGTCGCTGCACGCTTCCTTTGTCGAGGCCCTCTCTTCAATCGAGCAAGACGTTGCACTAGGTGGCAATTGTTGTCCTTGGCAATCCATCGCATTTCTTCGCATCTTCTTTCAGTAATTGAGTCCCAATAGCGATGGTGGGACTGCTTCAGCTCTTTGCTCTCCTGCATGATTGTGTTGGATAAAACTGCACTCTGATCTATCGTAAAGGCCCATGACCGCTGATGGCGCAACCCTCTCCTTTTTTATTTGATTTAATAGTGCGGTCTGCTGCTGACGGTCTTCCATGTAGAGAGGGCTCGTATGCAACACTTCCACTGAAGAACTGACCACAATATGCACAAAACTTTCATTCATCCGCTCGAGCTTTTTTTGCGTCTCAAGCTCGTTCAACAGGTTGTAATGCTCCTGGCACTTCCTTTCCATGACATCAAACAGCTCCTGCCCTCTGTGTCCCTGCTGCAGGCACCAGAATAGCGCTTCACGATTGGGACGGGGAGTCCGCTCAGGAAGTTGCCCCAATGCTGTAACACGACGAACAACCCATTGCACAGGCCAGTTATCACGTACTTCACCAACATCATGTAGCTGTAGCCTTCTACCAGTCTCACATAACACATTGCACCGTGCAGCAGAACTAAGTATCTCCACTGGAATACAAAAATGGTCTATGTAACTGGCGTTGTAGTAATGAGTGTTGGCTGCTGTGAGGCCCCACGCTTCAAGACACGGACATCACTGCACACACGCGTAGCTTTCCTTGCCATATCCATAGGGTCCATCTCCTTTGTCATCGTTTGACGAGGGGAGCCCACCATTTAAATCCGTGAGTACAAGAGGAATGAACTGTTCGCAGGACATCTCTTCCACAGTTATCTGAAAACACTGCACCATCCTCTGGCAGGCCTCCTCGTGAGTCTTGTGCAGTTTTGCCGATGTCTGCCGAAGGGGGAAGTACAGCGCAATAAGTCCAGTCGCCTCCAATCTAGACTGCGCGGCCTAAGAGACGAAGTTAGGCACGCGCTCTCTGGCAAGCCGGCGGGCGCCGCAGGAGATAACTAATCGGGGCGTCGCGCCCAGCTGTTCGCCAGCGTGGCAGTGCGGGCGCCCGCATCTCTGATTCGGACATCGGGGTGGACAACGTCGGACTGCTGAAAGAAGGAACACTGAATAAGGAACGAAGCCTCTCCTTGGCCCCAGAAGAGCCTGGGTAGGTACACACGAGGAGGGCTAAAGGAACAGCCACGGAATCACCGAAGGAACAGCGAGCCACTTACGCCTTACGAGCCCGAAGCGGTTCTTACTTCAGCGTCTTGACTGTAGTTTCTCGCCCAAGATCCGTTTTTGATGGCCCTGGGACCCGAAGACGGGCCCCCGAGGCCGACATCGAGGAGAAACGCCGGGATGGAAAACGACCGCGCCGTCGGAGATATTGTGGGATTTGGGGTCGAGGCCGATCCCCCCCCTTGTGGTCTGAACGTTGCCCCCGACCTTCTGCTCTCTGGTTTTGGAGCCATAGCTCGGGCCTCCGGCGACCGTTCGGAACGATTCTGGCACCCCCGGACCGCTGGCGACGAGTCGCAGTTGATGGAACCCATCCAGGCCTCGGAAACTTTGGAAGCACACAACGGACAACTTTCGAACCTCTCCCCCGCTCGCGAGCCTATCCCTCCTAGCAGAGGAGGAGGGGGAGGAGGAGGAGGAGGAGGAGGAGGAGGAGGAGGAGGAGGAGGAGGAGGAGGATCGCACGCAACTGAGGGGAAAGAGAGAGAGAGAGAGTGAGTTCGACAATTCGGAAAAAAAGCAGGGGGGGACCATCCGAGTGGACCTTCCCGTCACCCCGGCAGGAAGGCCGAAGACCTGCCAAGGGCCAACGACAGGGCCCCCCCTGGGATACTCAACTGTCTGACTCTTCACCGAGCCGCTCTTTTATCGGCGCGGTCGAGACGCTCTCCCAAGGCTACTGCTTCGAGCTCATTCAGCCCAAACGCCTGGAGGCAGTCCGCGAAACACAAACCGAAGACTCACGGCCCGCATCGGGCCTCGAAAAGGTACATCTCTTTGCTGGGCCCCTGAGGCCGTTTCGAGCCCCCCGACCAGCACTCGCGCCGCCCCCCCAGGCGTCCTCCAGGGACCCAGCTTGAGAGGCCTGTTCGGGTGCTTTCCCTGGGTCACCGCTCTAGTGTTTCTCTTGCCCGGGTCCACAAGACTATGCTGGGAGCCCTGGCAGGCTCTGCGGAGACCTCGAGACCCTGGCGAAACCGTGGCGTAACACCCACAGGTGGAACAAAAAAAGAGCGACGGCTGGCCTTCCACCGCCACCTCAAACTCGAGCAACGTGTGACCTGCCACATACAGCGGACACTGTTCAGGGTCCTTGGCCAAAGTGGCCAGCTCTGGCGCCAGGGGCTCACAGACGGGGGATGAGGCAACACTGGGAGATCCGAAATGTGCTGATACCGATGCTCCCTGGATAACCTGGGGTGCGTTCAGACCAGAATTTCGCGGATAATCCAGCCGTGGCGACGATGGCTTGACAGACCGAGCAGCGGCAGCGGAGGGGGAGGCAGCGTCAGCAGCAGCCGCGACCACAGCACGAGCAGTGCGGTAGGCAGCAGCAGGCAACAGGGCGCGGGCGCTTCCATCGTCGCCGCCAGGCCAGCGGAAACTCCACCGGAGACCCCAACGCCACTGCTGCCCGAAACAGGATCCCGGGAGCCCCAAACTGAGGAAAATCTTCTTCGATTGCAACTCATGGGAGCCTCCCATACCATCTTGCTGGCCCTTGCGCAGCGACGCTGACCGATGCTAGGTCGACGCTATTTGATGCTGCATCGGCGCTATCTCATCGATTGCCAGACACTAATCGATACAAATGCGCGCTCAAGACTGAAATGCGAAGGTATGCAAGGCTCCCGTGAATTGCTACCGCACCCTTCCCGAGCTCGAGGATTGACAGCACCCCCTTGAGCGAGAGCTGCCGGGGCACTCCACGAGCGCGCGCGGCACCGCATCCCGAGGCGGAATCACCAATCGAAGGCCAAGGACACCCGACGCATCCGGCGAAGCGCACGTTGCTCAGCGAAACCGGCCAGGGACTGCAACGCCACACTCGTATGTCAATGTCGAGTGACCCCGTGCAGATTTCCTGTCGGCCTGTCTGGGTGGGCGTTCTGCCAGTGCCCGACGGAACTCGACGACCACGACGACGACAACCAGAGTAGCAGGCAGACAGGCAGGCAGGCACAGGAGGAGGGCAAGGAGGGAGAGGAGGATAGGAAGAGGAGGAGGGGGAGGAGCATGCGGAGGCGAAGGAGGAGGGAGAGGCGGAGGAGGAGGAGGACGAGGAGAAGGAGGATGAGGAGGACGCGAGGAGGGAGAGAGGATGATGATGATGATGATGATGATGATGATGATGATGATGATGATGATGATGATGATGATGATGATAATGATAATGATGATGATGATGCTGATGATGATAATGCTGATACTGATGCTGATGCTGATGCTGATGCTGATGATGATTATGATTATGATTATGATTATGATTATGATGATGATGATGATGATGATGATGATGATGATGATGATGATGATGATGATGATGAGGATGAGGAGGTGGAGGAGGAGGAGGGAGAGGAGGAGCAGGAGGAGGAGGCGGCGGAGGCGGACGAAGACGACAAGGAGGAGGACGACGATGACGTCGACGACGCCGACGATCAGAGCAAGAAGGCGCGCGAGCGTTCTTTTTCCACCGCCGGGCCGGCCGACTCCGTGCCCTCCTGCGGCGTGAAGGCGGGGCCGTCCGCGGCAGGGGCCTCCGCTTCGAGCGGGGCGCCGGCCGCGTCCTGCGGCCCTTCGGGCTGCGGGCAGGACATCTCCCACTCCTCTCGGGCGCTGCTTGATGGGGGGGCGATGACTGGGGGGAGAGACGTGCACCTTTCGCGCTCCTTTTGGGCCCCCCTCTGCGGGCAGGACATCTCCCACTCCACTCGGGCGCTGCTTGATGGGGGGGCGATGACTGGGGGGAGAGACGTGCACCTTTCGCGCCCTTCTTGGCCCGCCCCACTGCAGGCAGGACACCTCCCACTCCTCTCGGGCGCTGCTTGATGGGGAGGCGATGACTGGGGGGAGAGACGTGCGTCTTTCGCGCCCCCTTTGGGCCCCCCACTGCGGGCAGGACGTCTCCCACTCCTCTCGGGCGCTGCTTGATGGGGAGGCGATGGGTGGGAGGAGAGACGTGCACCTTTCGCGCCCCTTTGCCCCCCCCCCGCCTCCTGCGGGCAGGACATCTCCCTCTCTGCTTGATGGGAAGGCGATGACAGGGGGGAGAGACGTGCACCTTTCGCGCCCCTTTTGGGTCCCCCACTGTGGGCAAGACATCTCCCACTCCCCTCGGGCGCTGCTTGATGGGGGGGCGATGACTGGGGGGAGAGAATTGCACCTTTCGCGCCCTTTTTGACCCGCCCCACTGCAGGCAGGACACCTCCCACTCGCCTCGGGCGCTGCTTGATGGGGAGGCGATGACTGGGGGGAGAGACGTGCACCTTTCGCGCCTTTTTTGGGCCCCCCCCCCCCTCTGCGGGCAGGACGCCTCCCACTCCTCTCGGGCGCTGCTTGATCGGGAGGCGATGACTGGGGGGGGGGGGGGGACGTGCACCTTTCGCGCCCCTTGTGGGCGCTCCACTGCAGGCAGGACATCTCCCACTCCACTCGGGCGCTGCTTGATGGGGAGGCGATGACTGACGGGAGAGACGTGCACCTTTCGCCCTCCTTTTGGGCCCCCCACTGTGGGCAGGACACCTCCCACTCCTCTCGGGCGCTGCTTGATGGGGAGGCGATGACTGGGGGGAGAGACGTGCACCTTTCGCGCCCTCTTTTGGGCCCCCCACTGCGGGCAGGACACCTCCCACTCCCCTCGGGCGCTGCTTGATGGGGAGGCGATGACTGGGGGGAGAGACGTGCACCTTTCGCGCCCCTTTTGGGCCCCCCACTGTGGGCAGGACGCCTCCCACTCCTCTCGGGCGCTGCTTGATGGGGAGGCGATGACTGGGGGGAGAGACGTGCACCTTTCGCGCCCCCCTTTTGGGCCCCCCGCTGCGGGCAGGACACCTCCCACTCCCCTCGGGCGTGCTTGATGGGGAGGCGATGACTGGGGGGAGAGACGTGCACCTTTCTCGCCCCTTTTTTGGGCCCCAGGGGGCCCCTCTACGGTCCCGTGAGGGCTCGAGATGTGCACCTTGCTTCACCCCGTTGTGTCGCCCCCCCAGCACGCAATGCCCGATTCTCGTCGGAGTACAAGCGGCAAGGACATCAACTTCTGACGGTCCACGCAGATTTCTTGGATCTGCGCTAGCCCCTCTGGCGGCGTCTCTGGCGCCACCCCTGGCGCGCTCCGCGCGCGAAGGAAGGAAGTCCAGCGCAGATCCAAGAAATCCGCGCGGACCGTCGAAAAGACGAAACCAAGACGAGGATACAATCGTGTAAGGATAAATCGAGAATCTCAAAATCTGGCGGATCTGGAGAATGTCTCGGGCGCCGCGGCCTTCTCAGAGCGTTCCGGAGCGCTCTGAGAGCGTTCCGGAACGCTTTGCAACGGATTTGTCCTTGTTCTAGCCCCGTCCGAGTCGAACATCTATTCGGCGGCGAGCGCGGGGGGTGGAGTGAGTAGGAGAAGGCCTTCTCAGAAGGTTCGGAAGTCCCCTGGCCTTCTGAGAAATTGTCTAAGCCTCCCCGGAAAACACAACAGACCTCTCAGAAGGCGCGAGGGCTTCTGAGAAGTCCCGCCGCCTTCTCAGAAGGCCTTCTCCTTCTCACTTCCCGCTATTTAATACGCTTTCTTCTTCTTCTTCTCCTCTCCTTCTCCCTTCCCCCTATCTAATCTTCTTTCTCACTTCCCCCCCTTCGCGCGCCGCCGATCTATGCTTAATATGTTTTTCTTCTTCGATCCTCGCTGTAGTAGTTGATGCCGGCCCAGGGCGAGGGCGAGACTCCTCGGGAGACGGGCATCCCCCGTCGCTTCCGGCCGGCCTTCCTCGAGCTCCTGGTTCCTGGTTCCTGCTGCTGCTGCTGCTCCTCCTGCTCCTGCTCCGTCTTCCCTCCCCCCCCTCTCCTCCCTACTTTTTCGCTCCTGCTCCTCCTCCTCCTCCTCCTCCTCCTCCTCCTCCGTCTCTCCTCCTCCTCCGTCTCCTCCTCCCTCCTCCTCCCTCCTCCTCCTCCTCCTCCCTCCTCCTCCTCCACTCCCTCCTCCTCCTCTCCTCCTCTCCTCCTCCCTCCTCCTCCTCCTCCTCCTCTCCTCCTCCTCCTCCTCCTCATCCCCCTCCTCCTCGTCCTCGTCCTCGTCCTCGTCCTCCTCCTCCACGTCCTCTGCAACTGGCGGTGCGCATCGAGCCGAATCGGCTCGTCCAGAGGGCGGAGTTCGACGAGCGGGCCGTGGACCTTGCCGTCATCGCTGGCGGCCAGTGGACACGTGACAGGCAAGATTGGAGCGGGGTGTGAATGCTCGCCGCTGTGCCCCCGCACTGCAGACAAGGTCTCAGTGACCTATCGATTGCAGTCGTGCCCAACAAACCGTGGGCTCGACGACCTCGTGAAAACTAATTTTCTGGCTCCTCAGGGCCTCACGGGCCTTGAGACCCAGACAGCCTTGTGGCTGGGAGGTGTGCCTTCGAGGGTCATCACAGAGCCCGCTCTCTTTGAATCTCCCGAGGATGTCCAAGAGGTCTTGCTCGAATTAGGACCTATTGGTGACCTGTGCTCGGATCCTTGAGGCCCTCCCTGGTTCATTTTCGGAGATGTCTCAGAAGGCACTTTTGAGGCGGACCCCCGTCGCACAAGAAGTGGCTCGGCGGTGGTGGTGATGTGCCAGAATCCCGAGGCGTCTTTGCACTGGCTCCCCCGCTGCCGAGTCGCGCAGACTCTTTCAGCAGGAAAAAGGCAGGCGGTCCCTAGAACTGAATTGCAAGCCTTCTGCGTCACGCTGGAGAATTCGAGGGGTCCGACTTGCTATTACGGACTGCAAGCATTCGATTTCGGACTGGCACGCTGGGCATGCGAAGTCTCCCAAGGGCCAGAACGGGGACCTGTGGGTCCGTGCTGCTCGTGCTGTGGCCGCCCGTGGCCCTGGGGATGTCTCCCTGGTCTGGACCCCGTCCCACACTGAGGAGTCCCTGCAGTCTGTCACCTCGGCTTTTGATATCCCCCTGTGCCAGGGTAACGCCAGTGCCGATGTCTTTGCGGGGGAGGCAGGCCAGTGGGCCTGGTACTGGTGCTCCCTCGGACGGACTGGTCGGACACGACAGCGGCACTGGTGCGTAGGCGTGCCCGTAGAGCTCTCCTGCTGGCGCTTGACGTTGGACCCTGGGAAGGGGGTCAGGACGCCGTCCTCGCGCCGAGTCAAGAAGCCATGTAAGTTTGCCACCGCGATCAGCGCGAGCTCTCATAGGTTCGCGGCGTTTGCTGGTCGGTGGCGGTGCTCGCAAAGTAAGATGATAGCTCCTAATAACCAATTGCTTGTTGTCGCCCCGACCCAGTGTAGTGTGCCGTATGTCCGTCGCCGCGGGATTTGGCCGAGACGCTGTGGGATGCCTCTGATGTTGGTGAGGGTTTCGAGGCGATCCCAGGCGAGCCCATAATCGAATCGATAAGTCGGATCGGCGATCGAAATGAGTCGGATCGGCGGAAATCGGCAGCCGAGTCGGGAGAAGTCGAATCGGCGGACATCGGCAAGCTTGTAGGCCTCCAATGAGGACTCGGAACCCGAAGTCGAATCGAATCGGAATCGGAGGCCATCGAAACCGAATCGGATCGGACCGGAGGGCTCCGGGGTGAGCCCTGCGATCCTGGGAGAGGCGTGGGTGAGCTCGACGCGGCTGCGCTCGAGCCACCGCCTCGCCGGAACGGAGCAGCACGGCCCAATCTTCTTTCTGCACGCGCTGCGGCTGCACCGCCACGGCCGACGGAAGGTGGCTGTCCAGAGAGTGCGCCCCTCCCCCACCCCCACCACCAAGAACTGGTGTGGGAGAATACGTCTCGAAATCGTGAAAAAAGAGCTGTTCCCGTCGTAGCGGGGTCCACCAGCGGCCACGCGAAGCGGCGGCGACTCAGGATTCTGTCGAGAGAGCCCTCCCGCCACGCCCTGGAGAAGGGACCCAGAGTGCGAGTGTCGTCGTCATGCCGATGGGGGGGGCTCCATTTTTGAGGTGCATGAGTATCTTCCTTTGACCACCAGCTCCCCGAGAGAGACTGCGGAGAACATGCCCCTCTTGGAGGACTCCGCGGTGGGTGGGGCCGAGGCTGCTGCCGTCCTTGCCGCCGTCGCCACCAATGTCCAGGAGCGGAGTTGCCTTTAGAGTGTGGCCTCCCGTCTCAGGTCGGAGCCTGATGGGGGTGTAGGCAGTGGCAGAGCTAGCAGCGAGGAGAATGACTGATGGTGGGAGCGGCCACGTGCGTGGCATCGCAGCAGGGTCCAGCAGCAGCAGAGACCTCCTCCGCAAATTCACATTATGAATACTCTCCTCTCCTCTGACCCTGTGCGGGAGATTTAGCCCCTCTCCGCAAACTGTTTCTTTACACGCAGGATTTCAAACATTTTTTTGTTGTTTGTTGTGCAATATGGTTATTTTCGGTGTTTCAAATTGGTGCTATCACTGCAGCGTGGGCCTCATCTTCGGATCGGCATTTTTGATCCAGTCGTTCAGAATGACACTCTCGCCACAGCGCGGGCCACTTTTTTGGATCCGAATTCTTTTTCATCGTTGTCGTCGCCCCCTCAATTTCCCCCCCTCTGTCTTCCCCTGGTCCTACTGCTCCTCCCCCTCCTTCCACTCCAATTCCTGCTGCTGCTGTTCGTCCTCGTCATCCTCCTTCCTCATACTCCTTCTTTTCCTCCTGCTCACCCGCCACCACCTCCACCCCCTCCTCCTCCTCCTCCTCCTCCTCCTCCTCCTCCTCCTCTCTCCTCCTCCTCCTCCTATGTACGCAACTCCCCACATCCGATTGTGCATGACAACACGGGGTACTGGTTCTAGTTCCGGGTCGGCTATGACACTCGTTCGCGGATCGAGAAACATAAGCGTAACGAGAAGGGATGAGAGGGAGGGATAGGATGTCAGATAAATCGCGAGCGCGTCTAGCTTGTCCTCCTCCCCTCTTCCTCCTCCCTTCCTCCCTCCTCCTCCTCCTCCTCCTCCTCCTCTCCTCCTCTCCTCCTCCTCCTCTCCTCGTTCCCCTCCCCCGTGCCCCTCCCCCTACCCCGCCCTTTACATTCCCCTCCTCCTCCTCCTCCTCCTCCTCCTCCTCCTCCTCCTCGTCCTCCGTCTCCTCCTCCTCCCGTGCTCTCCTCCCTCCCGCCGCTTTTCCGCTGTGCACCAGACATGGGGAGGGACAGGGCAAGGGGGAGGATCTGGGTGGCCGTCACAGGGGCGCTTCACGCCGCTTCGGCGGTCGGCGTGGCGTAGGCGAGCCTGCCCAGCGGGCAGGCAGCGTTGCGCACCACAAACGGGCACCGCGCAGGCGAAGATACCTGCCATTGCCACCGCGCCCAAGGAGCCCCCTGGTTGTGGCTTCAGGGAGGTCCGACAAGCCGTCCGAATGCCGCCCAGCAGCTGCCACGGGCTTCCGGGCAGCCCCCCAAAAGGCCACGCTCTCCCAACCGAGGCTGGAGATCGTGGCAACTCAGGGCCCCCTGGGAGGTCCTGCCGGGGCCTCCTCTGAGGCCTCCGCGGGGCTTCCTCGGGGGGCCCTCGCGCCCTCTCGGAGCCTCCGGGGAGGCCCGACGAGCCGCCCGAACCCCGCCCAGCAGCCGCCAGGGGGTCCCAGGACAGCCCCAGGAGACCACGATCTCCCGACTTGGGCTGGAGATCGTGGCAGATTAGGGCCCGCTGGGAGGCCTACCGGGGCCTCCTGAGGCTTTCTCGGGGCCTTCTCGGGGGCCCTCGCCCCCTCGGAGCGCTCCAGCAGGAACCCCCTGAAGTTCGCTGCGGCTCGTTGGGCCCTCAAGAGGTGGACGCCCGATCAATGCCATCCAACAGGGGACCTTCCACCCCTTAATGAAGCGTATCGTCTCAGAGTCCTCCTCCTCCTCCTCCTCCTCCTCCTCCTCCTCCATCCCTTATCCTTCTGAATGCTTGCAAGCGTGGGCCCCAATCAATGGATTCTTGCACTCTCGATGTGCGCACTCTGTAATATATATATATATATATATATATATATATATATGAAGACATACAAAAGATGTAATCAATTTGGCGCAATGCATGCGATGCAATCGATCTGGTGCTGTCTATGTTGTGCAAGCCGTCTAGTGCAAACTGAGAGGTGCAACATTCATTCTCTTACACAAGGTGTCTTAGAGCTCCGACCATTTTTTCGGCATGCACGCACGCACGGCACCGGCACTGGCACCGCGTCCCCCGTCCCCCCGAAGCCAGTCCAGCTCCCCCTCGCCTCCTAGCCAGCGCGCCCCCTCCGCTCCGAGCACTGTATTTCGGCACGCACTCAAGGCAGCCGCACCGCGCCACCCCCAGCCAGCCCAGCGCCCCCTTGCCCTCCAGCCGGCGATCCCCCTCCGCCCCGACTACTTCATTTCGGCGTGCACTCACGGCACCGGTACCGCTTGTACCCCCCCAGCCAGCCCAGCTCTCCCTCGCCACCCATCCGGTGCGGCCCCTTCCATTCAGTGCGTGTTCCCTTACAGGGGGATTTTCGACGAAAAATAAGAAATACAAAACATGATCCCAAATTATCAAACAAATACTGAAAAAATAGTCCCCAGACTGTTTTTGGATCATTTTTGAATATTTCTCCTGCAGAGGGACGGGCCCGACTTCAACTTAGTTCGGCACGCGCGCACGGTGCCGGCACCGCCAGCCCAGCCCAGTGGTGCGCTTGTCTTTCGAGGGGGCTTCCGAGATTAACTGCTGTAGGGCCTGATGGGGAGGGGGCCTGGGACGGGGGGTGCGTACTGCAGCATCGTCGGCTCATCTTGGATTTACTCTGGTCGTCGTCGTCGTCGTCGTTCTCCTCCTCCTCCTCTCCTCCTCCTCCTCCTCCTCCTCCTCCTCCTCCTCCTCTCCGCCTCCTCCTCCTCTTCCTCCTCCTCCTCCTCCTCCGCCTCTTCCTCAACACTCGGTCCCTCCCTGAGTCCGTCCCGGCGGGACCGAGCTGCGCCCTGCCGAGGCGACGAGGACCACCAGAAACACCAAACGTCGACGTCTCGTCCTCGATCCTCTCGGGCCTTTTTTCACTGCGCTGGCCTGACATCAAGCACGAAACCTACTTCTTCCGGTCGGATCCTCTCCTCATGCTGCGCACATCACCGAAGACAGCGAATACCGAAGTGCAAAATCATGCTCGAGGCGTCGCGGACCGAACCCGTGGTGCCCCCAAGTATGCCACGCCGCGCCCGCGCACACAGGGCGTGAGAGAGTGGACGGCCGTAGGTGGGCGGCGCTCTTGCTGGCTACTTTCGCGATCGGCTACGAAGTCTCCTCCTCCTCCTCCTCCATCTCGTCAGCTGTGAAGCGGTTGTGGCGCTACCCCACTCGAGCACGGGACGATTGGGGACCCAGTCGCGAGAAGCGCATCGGGCGAACAAATGGGAGACAAATGCAGGAACCGCTGAGCTCCCTGTGGCCTGTCGCGGAGTTCCTCGGTGGGCACATCGTGCGAGCAGGTCCACCCTGCAGGCGGCCATGGGGCTCTGAACTGGAGGGGCCCCGAGAGAATCTGCCAAGAAGGGGGGAGAAGGGCAAATGCGCTCAAGATCGGTCCCTGCACCCCTCCCAGGGGTCCATCTGGTGCAATTCTTCACCCCGACTTCGTTCTCGACGGCCCCGGGGCCCGACAAAAGGCGCCCAGAGGCCGAGAACAAGGCAAAACCACTCCCCGGACCCAGCACCTCGAACCTGCCCGCCCTTCCTGCTCGCCAGGACCAGTGCTGGGCCACCTCGGGCACCCAGCCGACTCCAGCACGGCGCTCCTTTTGTGTGGCCTGGCTCGACGAGTGCCTCGGCAGGCGCGGCGCGCGAGCCGAGGCCCGCCCGCGGGCCGGAGTCCCCGGGGCCCGAGCGTCGCCCCGTGCCCTCCTCCTTCCCTTGCCCCGCGGGGCCGCGCGGCGGGGACAGGCGCACACTGCGGGTTCGTGTCGTGCCTACCGCGGCGTCGGCTCCTGTCCCCGCGGGGGCCGTTCAGCTTCTGCTGCTCCCCTCGTATCTGAGGGCCACATCCCAGAAAACAATCTCGAGCACCCCGAGCAGTCTCGAAACGGTGTCGAGCGAGCATCGCCTCTCCCAGGGCCCGCCGCGCGAAAACGCTCCAATCTCGGTACTGTCTCGGTGCTCGACGCTCTCTCTGGTGATCAGAGCTGAAGCAGGTTGGAGCATCATAACGTTCAACCTGGAATGATCGGCCGTTGCCGAAACGTCAGATCGTTCACCACCGACCGATTCTGGGTCGCCAGCGGCATTCGACGCTGAGCGCTGGCGGCGGGGTCGCCGCTGGTCGACACGACGCGAGCCTACGGTGGCCAGGGTCGCAGACCACCTTCGATGGGGCAGACTCCGTCGTTCGGAGTACCACGTGGGAACTGCTCTAGAACAGGAACGTAGCGCGCCACGCGGCCGAGACAGCCGCAGCCGGATCGCGTACCATCCTCGGTGGGGCAACCCCCGGAAGGGCTGGAGTCGCTGCGGACAGAGGTTTAGAGCAGGAAAAGCCGTGCTCGCATGAGCCTGCAAACAAACAGCACACAGGGAGCCCATGCCCCGACCACAGGAAGGAAAGACCTTCTGGTAGCCCCAGGACCGCGACCTGCCCTTCTTTCAAGTTTGGCGCGGCCCGACAACAGAAATACCGCCGGACGCCCACAGCATGCAACACAACCAGGCCTGGCCCGCACGTGTTTCCAGCCTCCCCGTAGTTCACGCACCCGGCGGGTCTTGAGGACCCAAGCTCGACATCTGACCTGGCAACCCGCGAGGGCGGCATCTGGGTGGAGGCCAGAGGTGGGGTGGCAGAAGTGTCGAGGAAGGTCGCGAACAGGAGTCGCCAGTGAAGGGAGGGCAGCAAACGCCAGTGCAAAACTCCAGCGGCAAGACGACTGGAGAGCAGCAGCTCTCCTCCTCCCCCACCCTGAGAGGCAACGTTAGGGGGGGAACTGGCTCAGGGGGGGAACATCGACCTGGAATCAGCGATACACCGCCGATGAATCGGCGATATGCCCCAGATAGCGAATCCCCGGGGAAGAGCGCCCTCCCACGTCCCGGTCTCCGCGTTCAGCCGCCGTGTGCCGCTCCGCCGACAACTGCCGCGCCAGGAACTCCGCCATGTGTAGGTGCGCCGCGTCCCTGCTGGGGAACGGCAGCGAGCCCGGGGACTGGTGCATCGCCCAGCAGTGGAACATCGCCTGGCGGGCCAGCGCTCCCCGTCCGACCACCCTCTCCTCCTCCTCCGCCTTGTCCTCCTGGAGCGCCAACCTCTCCTCTTCCTCCTCTTCCTCCTCCTCCTCCTCCTCCATGGTTCTCCCTCATCCTCCCCCGCCTCCTTCCCTCCCTCCTGCCAGGCTGCTGCTGCTGCTGCTGCTGCTGCTGCTCTTGCTCTTCCACTACCTTCTCCTCCTGCTCCTTCCACTTCCTTCCTCCTGCCTCCTTTTCCTCCCTCCTCTCCCTTTTTCCTCCCCCTATCCCTCCTCCTCCACCTCCTCCTCCTTCTCCCTGGTCCTCGCCCTCCACTTCCTCCTTCCTCGGTCCAGGGGGGGCTGCCTGCCGACGATAGCGGCTGAAGGTGTCTGGAAAGTCCCTCCCCCTCTACTGTATGATTGTCTTTATCCTCTATCCTTGTTCCCCCGCCACCAATGACTGCCCTTCAGGAAACTCCCGAGCTTGTTTTCTGAGTTGTTTTGTGGTGCGGTGATGAGGTGTGTGGCGTGTTGACATGCAAGTCGTTCTGGGGTATTCGCTACAAAATATGAGTTGTTACTTTGGCTGGACCTAATATGCCAATCGAAGAAAGCAACGTGCAAAACCACGCGGAGGAATTCTATTTGCAATCCACACAACAGACCACACTCGGTTGATCGCCCACGGAATGACTCCCTTCGAAGCGGGCCTGGGCACATTCTGGAGACACCCGACAAGAGCTACTCGACGCGGAGATCCCAATCTGCACATCTCATACTGCAGTCACGTCTCGTTGAGGAACTCTGTCTATGGGTATCTGGGCGTGAGAGCGAATCCGCGTAGACGACAGGCGCGGCCACGACAACGACGACAGCGATGACTTCAGTGACGTCCTCCTCCTCTGGACATCTTTCAGGAGAGACGAGGGAGCACACAAGTGGAAGAGCGAAGAGGGCTTCCACTTGCCGTTCCCCCCGTGGCAACTCAGTTAAGCGCGCATGGCGTTTCTACGCCTGCTCTCAAGCGTTCGCGGCGCCTGCTGGCATTTGGGGTGCCCAAGTGCCAAGCCGGCTAGATCATGTAGCCACTTGTGTGTGAGCCTCAGTGCGAGTGAATCTGAACGTGGGTGATCTTAGTGTGAGCGAGTCAGTGTGAATGGATCCAGGGATGCTTGAGCCTGAGTGTGAGTGAGTCTGGATATAAGAAGTCTAACTACGAGTGCTCTGAGTATGAGTGAGTCTGAATGCGAGCGAGTCTGAGTGAGAGTGGGTCTGAGTGTGAGTGAGCCTGGGTGTGAGTTTGAGTGTGATGGGTTCAAATTCAAGTATGAGTGAACCTGGGTGCAAGGTAGTCTGAGTACGAATGAATCTGAGAGTGGGTGAGTCTGAGTGTGAGCGGGTTTGAGTGTGAGTTGGTCTGGGTGTGAGTGAGTCTGAAATTGAATGGGGTTTAATTCTAAGCGGGGAGGTATGAGTGAAACTAAATTTGATTTAATCCGAGTATGAGTGGGTCTGAATGTGATGGGTGAGTCTGAATGAGGAAGAGATGCTGATGAATAAGTCCGAATGCGAATGGGTGCGTCCCTCACCCCTGGCGGCTCCCCCTCGGGTGCCGAAGTGCGACGGCTGTCATACCGCGGTGCGCATTGGACCACCTAAAGAGAAGCATCTGTGGGGCAGAAACGGGCAAACCGACGGAGACATCCCCACAATCTGTGCGCGAATCAAGGAGTGTCCTAATCCCTGGCAGCTCCCACTTGGGGTGCCCAAGTGTCATGCATGATATATTGCGGTGAGCATGGGAGCACCAAAAGAGAGCAGTCTGGGGGGCGGGGGTCTGAGGCTGAGTGAGCCTGTGAGGAAGTGATGTTGCTGAGCCTGCGTGCGGAAGAGTGAGTCAGCGACTTAGGCGGGCGCGGTGCCACGGCAACATCGACAACGGCAGGCGCGATGATGATGGTAGCACTGTTGGCGACGATGATGACAACGACGACGGCAAGGCCAGTGAAGCCACCGATGATAATCTCGCCGGCGACGATGACGGCGTCCTCGCGTCGGTGATGAGGATTTCGGAGGGAGCTCGAAATGCGAACGCGGCCGAGACGCGAGTGGCCCACATGGTATCAGTTGACACGGATCAGTTGGCACGCGCGCAATGGCGTTCGCGGCGCGAGGCCCGCGTGACCGAATTCAATGGAACTTTTGAAGACCGATGGTTTCTTCCAGAACTCGCAGGAGCGCGAGCGCAGGCTTTCTGTTTGAGAAATGGCGCTGCCAAGCCATGTGTTTCTACATGGTTTCGGGACGCTCGATTTTGAAACCCTTGCGAAACCCAAACCGTGAAGGATTTCGGCATGCGCGCGCGACGACCCGCGCGCGTGTTTTTCGTCCCGTCAGTTGCAAGAGGTTTTTTTGCGTCAGCACGCGCCAAGGGCATTCTTTCGATTCCGACACGCACGCGCGAAAGGCCCATGTGGCAATATGTCAGCAAGGTTTTTGTCGTTCGTATTTTCTATGATTTAAAACAAAAGGAAGAAAAACAAGAGGATGATTACCCAAAGAAGTCGCGAAAAGAGCCCGAGCGCAAACGTTACGAAAATCATTGTTGCGAAGCCAAGTGTTGCTACATGTGCTCGGGACACTCGATTTTCGAATCCTTACGTAGCCTACGGTTTTTGGTGGATTGCGGCATGCGCGCGCGACGACGTGCGCGTGTGTATTTCGGCCCCTGAAAATTGACGACGTGTGATGAACGACTGCGCGAGAATAGTATGCGTCGCAAAGGATGAGGGGCGATACCATTTTAGCTGGTATATCACGAAGCCATATTTAGGATGGACGATGTGGCATAATCCCATGTAAAATTCAATGCGAAGAATGGAATGGTTAACTCCGGAAAGGAGGGGGAGAATCCCATTATTTTCTTCAGACCGGAACAAGTACGGAATGTTATATTTGATGTGCAGTTTGAGGTGGTGCAATCTTTGTGCTCCAGTATATTTTTTGCCGTTTACGTCGGGCAATCTGTGTGGTGCAACATACGTCGAGCAATCTATGTGGTGTTGTATATGTTGTGCCAGTCTGTGCTGCGCAACCCATGTGGTGCAGCGTATGTGGTGCATCTATGTGGTGCGCAATATCTGCTGTGCAATCTATGTGTTGTGCAACTTCTGTGAACGGCGACGCGGCGGCGACGTGGCGGCGACGGCGGCAACATAATTGCCAGACCAGCAGACAGGCCCAGGCGACGGGCGGCGACGACGCGGCGACGGCGGCGTTATAGCCGCCAGACCGACAGACAGGCACAGACGACAAGCAACGATGTGGCGGCGACGGGTCGGCGACGGCGGCTACAAACCGCGAGGAACCCCTAAAAACAGAAGGCCTTAGAACAGACGCACGAACCCCTAAGTGCAAGCATTGTTAGGGGAATGTAATGTTTTGGTATCACGTTTTCTCCGCCCCCGGCTCCAAAAAGAGAACACGTAGTACATGTAAGTTGTTGTGTGTGTTCCCACTTTCTATTCTAAGATGGGGTTATTGCTATCACTTAGTTGCCTCCAGGTCTCCTTCCTCTTCTTCACTCTCAGGTCATTCAGATACTCATATTCAGGTCAGTCACACCCATCACGGGGTCCATCACAGAGCCACTCTTCTTCACTGGGCCCGTCACAGACTGTTTACAAAATTTCGTGTCCCTCCCGCCCCTCCAAAGAGGCCCCGCTTGAGCGAGGAGGGCATCCGCAACACATCCAATTTACAACATTTCGTGCCCCTTCCACCCCCCAAGGAGGCCCCGCTTGAGCGAGGAGGGTATTCGCAACACATCCTTTTTACAACAATTTGAACCCCTCCTACCCCTCCAGGGAGGCACCGCCTGAGCGAGGGGGGTATCCGCAACGTATGCTATTTACCAAGTTTCGTGCCCCTCCTACCCCGCCTGGGAAGCCCCGCTAGAGTGAGGATATCGGGAACACATGCTATTTGCAAGATTTCGTGCCCCCCCCAACCCTTTCAGGGACGCCCCGCCAGAGCCCGCAGGGCATTCGAAACCTATGCCAGTTACGATGCTGTGTACAAGATTTCGTGCCCCTCTCACCCCTTCAGGGACGCCCCGCCAGAGCGGGCAGGGCATTCGAAACCTATACGATTTACAATGCTATTTACACTGTTTCGTGCCCCTCCTGCCCGTCCTGGGAGGCCCCACCATCGAATTCCATTATTCACAAGATTTTGTCCCCTTCCCACAAGTCATGGGAGGCCCCAGCAAGGCGGGCAAGGTATTCCTTCTCACCACTGTTGTGCCCCGTGGATCCCGCTAACTCCGTGGCACCCTTATGTTGGGAACTCTGGTAACACAATGTTGAGAATGTCGCACGCGGCGTCTCCCGGAAATTTCGTTTTGACCTGGACTTTCTTGACCTTGTTATGAAACATGGCCCTGAATGAAACAAATTCCTGACCTTCTCCCGCAGCCGGCTTCTTTGAACTTGCGCTTCAAGGGTGCTGCAGCCTGGCGCGCCGCCTTCTGCACGGGAGCGGCCGCGCGCTTTGCGGCCAGCCGCAGCTCAATGGCCTGCGAGGCTGCGTTGTATTTCTTGCGCTCTCGTACGGCTTCGGCCACCAGGGTAGTTATCTAGGTGGTTGCTCGGTTGTTCGCTGTTTTGATTTCCATGAGCCGTCAATTGGTCTTCGAACGACATTCTTCCTTCCTTGGGGTTCCCCATGGCTCTGCCGAGGCAGGCAGTCGCGATGCACTGGGACGGTGGACGCGCCCCCAGAATGAGCGAGGATATGAAGCAAACACCGGACGAATGGAGAACTGATAAGTTAGACCAGAGGGACGGCGCTGGGGACAGAACGAGGAGGACGATGGAGATAGGATGTAGATAAAGGGCGAAAGACGGCGTAAAACAACATAGAAACGAATACACACTAGATGCCAGGATGAGTCCCGTTCCTGTTGTCGTCGTCCTCGCCATCGTCATCATCGTCATCGTCATCGTCGTCCTAGCCATCGTCA